TAGAGGAAGCGTAATTTAGGTCACCGACCTTACGTTCTTCACAAGAACCAGTACGAGTATAGCGGATCAGAATCCGCTCCCTCCAAGAGTAGCTAGAACCTTAACCCTAGGCTCATAAACTCTTTTGTTTAAATGTAAAATGTACTTATTTGTTTTAGTTGCGGCAAAGCCGCCTAATTTTATATGTATAGATTCCTAAATATGTATAGTAAAATCTTAATACATGCATAACTACTGGCTACGCAGCCACGTACCGTATTCTTATTTGGGTGCAAACACAGCATGCCATTTCGTGTGACGCACATCCCCTGTACCCGGGGTACGTGTAACCCCGTTACAGGCACGGTGCGTGGCGCTTGGTTATCGAGAGCTTGGGGTGTGCTTCCCGTGAAGCCGCGGACGCATTGTCCAGAGATGTATCCCGTGCAGAAGACGAAGAAGGGATCTGCCCTCGGAGCCAGATAGATGGGTATTTTCCGTGTCATTGACACAATGCCCATTGAGCTACGAATGCTCAAAGATGTCCTAGGGATCAAACAGTGACTCAGACACGCGAGCAGCTAAATTTTAACTGTGGGTATTCACAATTTTGATGGGATAGAGTGTTACGGGGTTACAAGTACCCTTAAAAGAAAGGGTGGGTCACACAAGATGATGTGACCCTACAAAGATGTGGATAAGTTCGTGTAATCACACCATGGTGTGGCTACACCGTAACAAGAAGCCACTACGTGGCAGGATTGCCAGTAGTAATACATTTTAATTAGGATAAACTTTATTGCTTAGGTTGTACTATTAATTAGAATAAGCTTAGGTTTTAGATATAGACGGCTTTGCCGCAAATAAAACAAAGAAATAAAAATTTGGTCTTGAACGGAAGAGTACATTGCCTTGGTTAAGGTTTTTAGGTATTCCTGGAGGTAGCGGATTGCGACCCGCTACACGCGTACTGGTTATGGTAAAGAACGTAAGGTCGGTGACCTTAGTAAGCTTCCCTTAGGCAAAGAGCTACAGCAGCACCGCTGAGACTTTGGTCTAGTGATCTTGACTGTAAGGTTCTTTGGCGGTGTTTTCAATGTTAAGTGTTTATTTGGAGGCTGTAGGCTTTCATCCGGGTTTGATTGTCTTGACTAGAAGTATTGACTCAAACTTTGAATTGAAAACAAAATAACTGGAATCGCAAAATCACTCGTCATGCCAAACCCTCTTTGAAGCTGATCTACTGAGTGAGAAAATGACGTATTAAGCTTTATTACGATTGTAGATTCATACACTGTTAAGCTATATGAATTATTACAGGGTATAATGATTGCCTCATCATGGGAAGTAACCGAAATAAACCCTTGGACTACTTTATTAACACTTTGCTGTCAGATATCGAAGCTCGCAAGTCGTGCAATCGTGCAGCTGAATTGGATATGGCGTTGCGGGCGCCAGTATCTTCTGCTAAAGGAAGCGTTGCTGGGACTCGGGTATCCACGGCTCAAATTTTACGCGTTCACCAACGCACTTATATAGAGTGCAGTGGGACAAATGCAAATCACTATTGAGGGTTGACGCCAATTATTCAAAGTCGCTCAAAATCTTTTGTGACTTCATGGTGTAGCATACAATGAAACCCAATATTTTGTAGTTAGCTGCCCTGCACCTGTCCGGGCTTGTCATTTTCCCGTGCGGAGACTTGCCGATCACTTTTGCATGCGAGCTCAGCCCTTCATACTTCTCAAGCAAGAGCGAAGGGGGCAGGCAAGGCGCAATTAAATATACCACCGCGGAGAGTCATCTGCGGGTATCGCAGACTTGATTAACATCCATGAGATCTCTCTTCGTACTTTCTCAGCATGGTTGAGGCTTACCGTCACTGATACCTTGCAGTTCAAGTACCACATCTTTCCCTCGCAGCACGGAACCTGCGCTCTACCCTGAATGTGATTCTCGATCCTTCTTCAAAGAGGTAAGGTGGGCGTCAGCGGGCTCGGTGCCAGCCGCATCCATTCAGATGATAGCCGCTACAATCTTCGAGAGGGCAGACAACATTGCAGCTATTATAACCTTGGGCGCACCTATGTTAAGACCCTTCATGAAGATGATAGCCGATAGCCGTTGCCATCTCTGAGATGGCAGACAACATTGCAGCTATTAAAACCTCGAGTTAAGCAGTACAAACATTCGCGATGCTGTAAGTTTAAGTTGTCCCACGTTGACTGCGACTTTTACCAAGGTATTACACGTAAGTGCCTATTCTTTTGCGCGACCTCCTTGACAATAACGAGCGCAACAAAGTTTTGAGAAAGACCAAAGCTTTACCTTCCTCCATCTCTCTTACCCAGATGAAGAAACTTCACCGTCCAACCTCAATGACTAGGATGCCTAACATTAACGTTTTAACAACGGGATACATCTGTTCCTACGCCAAAATTTGACTGGGAGGCCTTTTGTAACGGGGTTACACGTACCCTAATAACAGGTGTGTGTGTCACACAAGATGGGCATGGTGTGACTGCAACCAAATAAAAATACGGTACGTGGCTGGCTTGTCAGTAGTTATGCATGTATTTAGAAAACACTATATATAAGGAAAATCTAAACATATAAATTAGGCGGCTTTGCCGCAACTAAAACAAATAAATACAGTTTACTTAAACAGAAGAGTTTATTAGCCTTAGGATAAGGTTTTAACTACTCTTAGAGGTAGGGATTGCGATCCGCTACACTCGTATTGGTTCTTGTGAAGATCGTAAGGTCGGTGATCAAAATTAAGCTTCATCTAAGCGCAAAGTTACAAGTCGGATACTATTTTGCCAGCATGAGAAAAGATGAGGGCGAGGTTCGCCAACGGCGCGACGTGAGCCCTTCCCGAACCTTACGGACACCGTGTCCGTTTTCCGACCTATCGACTCCGGGGGAAATGGTATTATTACCAATCGCCTCAATGAGGCACTGGAGCAGCAGTTGTAAGTTGCATACAGGGCATCTCCCATACGCTCGTATCCACGTTCGATCCTAGTCCCTCGACTTCCGCTCGGAGGAAACCGCTGCTGAAGCGAATGACGCGATCTCTTGATCGTTAGGTGTCTACGTTGTTCGACCCTTGACCACTACACAAGCTGAGCTTGATCAGCTGAAAGCGCTGCGAGCTCGCCTCTTGATACCTCAAGAAATTCCAGTGGATAGGTACCGCGCTCGACTTCGAGCTCAAAGAGGGGTCGCTCCTGTACCCGCACTGTGGACTTTTCTTGTGGTACTCATCCCTGACAAACCGATGTAGATATCGATGAGCTTTTGAGCGATAAGTGCGGCGGCACCGAAAACTTTCTTTGCTGTCTACCTTACAGCAAAAACACAAAGACTTGGACGTGCGCGTTCAGCGCCATGATAGTTTTGATTATGCCAAACTTGTGGCGCAACGCCGCTTCCTGCGTATTGTCACTCTGCATTACATGGAACCACCACTCCCGCTCCCGCGAGCTCTGTTCTTTCTCACACGGGCGAGTCCACGACTAAAGCAGCTCAGAGCCATGGCTTTAGCTTAGCCCATGGCTCTCCGGCTTCCCGGGATACCGCCGAGAAGCGCAGGGCCCACAACAACGCGGAGCGTTATGATCAGTCTGATCATAAGCGTCCATGACGTCTGCGCATTCTTGCCGAAGTGGCACCTCAAGCTCATGTGAACTCTCGGAGTTTGGGAAATCCCCGCCACCTCACAAGATATTGACTACGACCCTGTCAACAACGTCGACTCGCAAGGCGTTGCACATGATAGTAAACGCCACCACTCTCATCGAGACGAGTCGGCGGCGGACGATGACGATCGCTGTCCGGTGACATGCAGTGCCCTTCGAGCTTTGGAGAACAAAGTCCGTCCTCCGCTAAGCATCCTTCCGATGTCACTAACCGCTGTGCGGAATACCTCCGCCGAGCATCTATCCGAAGTCGCATACCGCTGTACGAATTACCTCGAGAGCTTGGAGCACTTTATGAACCGACTGCTTCACATTGGAGATTCTCGCACTCTATTGGAGCGGCTCATAGCCGTCGAGCAGAACACGTCACTTCGTGTGACGGTGGAGCGCCTTGCGCCATTAATAACGGAGATTGTTGCAGTATGTGCACAGAACTAGTTGCTGATGGCGGCAGAGCGTCTTTGTGGCGTCACCCCGGCGTCAACACTTCCGCACTCATTTTCCCCAGATCCCGGTACGGTTTAAGTAAGCCCGTTAAAACGCCGATTTGTTGCGTATCCTTCTTGGAAGGTTTAGCGTATACGCAAGACCTCGCTTTGCCACGACCTTAAAATGTCCATTAAACCGTGGACGGAGCTTTACTTCCAAGACACCAGAGACTGCACGTGTTAAAAGTTCCGAGCATTTAATAAAACTAGGTCTTCAACACAATATTCTCAGCATATCTTCTGCTTCTTCCGTCTGCATACTCTTTTGGCAAATCATGGCTTACAGCCATCGCATCGTTAACGTACCGCAGGACAGTCAGTCTGGTGGACAGGAAGTCATTGACTTCTTAATGGACAGTGAGAGGCTGACATCAGCTAGCCGTTTGGCTATTTTTCCTCCACAAAGCCCTGAGCCATGGGATGGCGGCATCAGCGGGAGGCGAACAATCCCGATCACGTAGAACGATGTGTAGCCGGTTGATTAATGCACCGTATTGTTCAGAGCAAATTCTACGAATTGCAGAATGGCGCTCCAGCGCTTCGGCGTCTTGACGCCGACGCTGCGAATAACTTTATAAAGACGCGATTCACGCGTTCAGTTTCGACCATCGGTCTGCGGATGGTACCCCCTGTTGACATAGTCAACTCACCCTCAAAATTGTCGACCAAAATTTCCCATTGAAGCGTGGGTCTCTATCAGAGACAATTGACTCTGGGATCCATGTTGTCGAAAGACACGATTGACAAACAGCGTCGCTGTGCCCACACCGTCGATGGTTTCCGGCGCTGCCACAAGATGAGCCATATTGCACAAACGATCGACAAAGACCACCACACCCGTCTTACCCGCCGAGTCCATCGGCAGGCCAGCCACAAAGTCCATACTCATGGACTGCCATCGCTCAGAAGTACAAATAAACTGACCAGCGGCGCCGCCGGATTCGGAGAGGATTTCATCCTTTGACACTTCTCACACGTGTGCACATATGTGCTCGTCTATTTCTACAGCTTGAGCCACCAGTTGTGGCAACTTACAGGACTCTAATTTCTCTCACGACGAAGAAAACCACTGAGTGGGGTGTCAAGGGCCTCATAGAGGATACATTATTTCAAATTCTTATCGTGAGGAACCACAATTCGTGACGTATCCGTCAAAATGGTGCTATAATGCTGCACCCAAAAACTAAACGAATATCGGTGTAATGTGCGGCAAATGCGCCAACGATTACTTGTCAAAGCTTCCAAACTCTTTGCTCCCGAGAGCCTGTGGCAGCGCTACACACCCGCGTATCAAATCACTGATGACGTCACCGTTGTGACATGAGCAAGCTCATAATCTGGTCTGCATCTGCCAAAGCACTCTGCTTTCCTGGCTAATACTTAACCTTTAAGTCACATTCTGCCAAGGATCAGTCGCAGTGCTTAACGACGCATGATCTGTGTAGATCACAAACGGTTTTGAGCCAACCAGATGCACTCTGAACTTGACAAGTGCATACATCATCGCAGGTAATGCCAGTCGTGTACTGAGTGGTCCATCTTCGCAACTTAAGCTGGCGAGATTCGAACGCAATTGCCCGATCGCGCCCCTCGGCGTCTGCTTGCATCAGCGCACAGCCGATGGCAAGGTCCGGAGCATTACAGACGACACTAAAACGACGATCGGGGTCTGGCATCGCCAGTATTGGTGCATGAAGGAGGCTATCTTTGACCCTGTCAAAAGCCTTCAGACGCTCGGTGTTCCAAAACCATTTTTTAGCCTTCATAGAAGATTAAACAATGGCCGTGCAATTTTCACATAATCTGCGCTATACTGGTGCAAGTAGCTTGCGAGGTCAAGCCACTTGCGCAAGTCCTTTTGGTTCTTTGGATCTGGCCAGTCCACACTGGCTTAGACCTTAGCGGGATCTACTCGGAGGCCACGCTTCCCAATGAGGCATCCTAAAAAGGGGATCCCTTCCGCGCCAAAGATGCACTTATTGGAATTAGCATACATCTTATTCGTTCGCATGCTCTAAACTATATAATGTGGTTTTCCTCATCTGTCCTTCCGTGTCCCGCACGACGTGGACGAAAGTGTCGTCGAAGAATGTTTGTGCATACGCCCGGTGGGGCCTGAAGAGCTGCGCCACAAGACGATCAGATGTTGCTGGTGTATTTGAAAGCTCTTGGGGCATCAACAGCCACTCCCAGAGCATTCCGCTCGGAGTACTCACCGCTGTCAGCGGAATGACACTCGCTCTCGTGAGCAATTGGTAATACCCATCGACCAAGTCGAGTGCGCTGTATTTTGTACAGCCAACCATATTGTTCTGGAGAACAACCATTCTAAAAATCGGCGTCTGTGTCGGAATGGTGGTACCGCTCAGCTTATTGTAAGCGTGAG